TCGCTGACCCCTCTGCGGGTCCGGTCGTCGCGCGCAGTTCTACGTCCCTTCCCTGTCCGGCAGTTCCCTCGGGCTCCCTTACTGGCCTCCACGTTCCCTCGTTCTCCAGGAACCTGGTTGGTGTCGGCTGTCTCCAGGACCTCGGCGTCACCACCACATTCCCCGGGCACGAGCGGTTCGCTGTCTGTTCTGAGGCTGTCTCAGGTTCCCCCCTTGCGACGTTCCCCCGGGACCCGGTGTCCGGTCTGTTTACCCTACACACCGCTTCCCCCCCGGTTGGTGCGTCCTCCCAGGTCGCTGCAGCTTGCTCGTGTCGGTCCCTCACTCACCCCTCCCTTCTCTGGCACCACCGCTTAGGTCACCCTGCTCTCCCGCGTCTGCGTCACATGTCCCAGCACGGTCTTGTCTTAGGTCTCCCCGCGTCGCTCCCTGCCCTTCCTCCCTCGACTGCGCCACCGTGCACGCCTTGCGTCGAGGGTCGGCTCCGCCGTGCTCCTCACTCCTCCTCGCTGCGTCCTGCTACTGCCCCCCTTCAGACCCTGCACTTGGACGTTTGGGGCCCTGCCCCCGTCCCCGGACCGCGCGGTGAGCGCTACTTCCTTGTGCTTGTCGACGACTACACGCGCTACACCACGGTGTTTCCCCTGGAGCGGAAGGCCGACGTGCCCGACGTTCTTCTCCCGTGGGTTGTGGCTGCGCGTCTCCACCGCGGTCTCCCCGTGTTGTGTCTCCACTCCGACCGTGGCGGCGAGTTCGCCTCTGGTCGGCTTGGACAGTTCTGTCGTGCGGAGGGCATCACCCAGTCGTACACGTTGCCGGACTCGCCACAGCAGAATGGGGTTGCTGAGCGCCGCATCGGCTTGGTCATGGAGGTCGCCCGTACCTCCATGATCCATGCCGATGCCCCCCATTTTCTGTGGCCGTTCGCTGTTCGCTACGCGGCTCACCAGCTTAACCTGTGGCCACGCTCCCAGCGGCCGCAGGTTTCGCCGACCCTCCTTTGGACCGGGTCCCCCGGTGACGCGTCTGCGTTCCACGTCTGGGGCTGCCTTGCTCACGTTCGTGCCTCTGGCACGGACAAGCTCACTGCCCGCACTGTCCCCTGTGTCTTCCTCGGTTTCCCCCTGGACTCGTCTGACTGGCTTTTCTACCACCCGCCGTCTCACCGCTTCCTCCACTCTCGTGACGTCACCTTTGATGAGTCCGTCTCCTTCTACCGCCGCTTCCCTCACCGAGGTCTCCCAGTTGCCCCCCCCCTTTTCCTTGCTCCCTCTCCCCCGGTAGCCCCTGCCCCTCTCCCGCCTCGTCCTGCCCCGTCTGGTGTCTCCCACGTCACTCCCCTCCCGTCGATTGTCCCCGTTGAGGAGTCTGCTGACTCTGGTGGTACCCCCGGTCCGTCCTTGCCGCGTCCCCCTTCCCCGGTGCCTCCGCCCCCACTGTCGCAGTCGCCGACCCCGCTGCCGCCGCCGTCGCCGTCGCCGCCGCAGCCGTCGCCGCTTTCGTCGCCGCCGCCGCCGCTGTCGCTGCCGCAGCCGTCGCCGCTGTCGCCGCCGCCGCAGCCGTTGCCGCCACTGCCGCCGCTGCTCTCGGCCCCTGGGGGTGCTGGTGTGGAGGAGGGTGTTCGTCCTGCGGCTTCTGGGGGTGCCGCTGGTGTTGGAGGGGGTTCTCGCTCTGGGGGTGTTGGTTCTGGGGGTGCTGCTGTTGAGTGTTCTGCCGACGGTCGTTCTGCCTCTGCTGGTCCGAGAGTTCCGGCCCAGCCGTCGTCGCCGCCGCAGCAGCCGTCGCCGCCGGTTTCCGCTCTCCGCCTGCTCGGCCTTCCCTCCCCGGACCGCGCGCCGGTGTCTCCCCCACCGCCTCCTGACCTCCCTGTCTACGGTCCTGTGTTCCCGCCGCCAGACTCATCTCCGGCCCGTCTTCCTCCTCGTTCCCCTCCTGTGTCTCCTCCGCTGTCCCCTGACCCTACCCCTCCGTCTCACGTTTGGGCTCGCCGTCCCTCCCGTGCTCGTCCCGTCTCTCCTGTCCTGCCCACCCACCCTATGTTGCTCCGTTCCCACTCGTCTCGTCCTCCCCTCCTCCCGTCCCCTCCTCCCTCGTCCCTTGCTGTTGCACCTCCTCCGTTCTCTGACTACCTCCGTGCTGCTCGTCCCCTTGTCCCTCGGGTCCTTGCCTCTCTTGTTACCGACCCTGCTGTTTCTGTCTCGCGCCTTGACGCGCTTGTCGCTGCTGTCGCTGACTTCGCTTCTACCCGCCGCCTTGACTACGCTACCGCTCTGGTCTCTGACCCTGCCCGTCCTCTGTCCGTCGGGGGTGCTCCTGCCCTTGGCAGTGACGTCCTAGAGGACAGGCAGTACGAGTTGGCTTTCCTTTCCGAGGCTGCTCCCCATCTCTGCTCCATGCTGTTAGTCCCTGAGGGTGACCCAGACGCCTTCGACATCCCGACCCCTCGCACCTACGCTGAGGCCACCTCGGGACCTTGGGCCTCTCAGTGGATAGCTGCCATGGAGCAGGAGATGGCATCTTGGAGATCCACCGGCACTTACGTCGACGCAGTTCCCCCGCCTGGGGTGAACGTAGTCGATGGTCGGTGGCTCTTCAAGGTGAAGCGCCCCCCTGGAGAGCCGCCTGTCTTCAAGGCGCGCTACGTGGCCAGAGGTTTCAGTCAGCGCGAGGGGGTTGACTTCTTCCAGACCTTCGCCCCGACCCCGAAGATGACCACTCTTCGGGCGCTGCTACACGTAGCAGCACAGCGTGACTACGAGCTTCACTCCCTCGACTTCTCTACTGCCTTTCTTCAGGGCAGCCTACACGAGCAGGTCTACCTGCGCCGACCACAGGGCTTCACTGGTACCTTCCCTCCTGGGACCCAGTGGCTTCTCAGGCGCCCGGTCTACGGCCTGCGTCAGGCTCCCCGCGAGTGGCACGACACGCTACGTGCCACGTTAGCAGACCTGCAGTTCTTTCCGTCCTCTGCTGACCCTTCACTGTTTGTGCGTTCCGGCCAGACTCCGTTCTACATCCTTGTCTACGTAGACGACCTGGTCTTCGCTACTCCTGACAGGGACGCACTGGCCTCTGTGAAGGCTGAGCTGCTGAAGAGACACACCTGCACTGACCTTGGAGAGCTGCGTCGCTATCTTGGCCTGCAGATCTCTAGGGACAGAGCAGCACGCACCATCACTCTGACCCAGTCACACTTGGTGCGTCAGGTCCTTCAGAGGTTCGGTCTTCAGTTCTCCTCCGCACAGCCCACACCTCTACCCGTAGACCATGGGCTCTCTGCTCCCGTTCCTGAGGAGCCAGTAGAGCCCAGTGGCCCCTACGCAGAGCTGGTGGGTTGCCTCATGTACCTGATGACTTGCACTCGCCCAGATCTCGCATACCCTCTCAGCATCCTGGCTCGCTTTGTGGCTACAGGCAGACACCGACCTCAGCACTGGTCTGCCGCTAAGAGGGTTTTGCGTTATCTTGCTAGTACATCAGGCATGGGGTTAGTGCTAGGAGGACGCAGGCCAGTGGTCCTTACTGGGCACACAGACGCTTCTTGGGCAGACGACGCTGAGACGCTCAGGTCGTCGCAGGGCTACTGTTTCAGCCTTGGTTCGGGTGCTATCTCTTGGAGATCCACTCGCTCGTCGTCTGTGGCTCAGTCTAGCTGTGAGGCTGAGATCTACGCTGGTGCCATGGCGGCACAGGAGCTCCGCTGGCTGACCTTCTTGCTCACAGACTTAGGTGAGCGGCCTAGCTCTGCCCCGGTCCTGTACGCTGACAACAGGGCCATGATACTCCTGTGTCAGGAGCCTCGGCTTGAGGGCAGAGCGAAGCATATCCAGCTGCGGTACTTCCTCCTGCGCGAGCTACAGCAGCGCCGCCAGGCCCGCGTAGTTCACTTGGCCTCAGGTGCCAACACAGCTGATATCTTTACTAAGGCGCTTGCGCCTAAAGATCATCAGCGGCACTGTGTACAGCTTGGTCTTGTTCCTATAGCTGCTCCCCTGTTAGGATCCTGATTGTGTACTCTCTATTATATATGCTTGTCAGACTGGCCTTGTGGCCTTACCTCCAGTGGCTGGACTAGTAGTGCCACCCTGGCTTGCTTCAGTTTTGGTTGTATTCTTGCTGACTGGTCTCCAGACCCCTGCCTCAGTGGTTGGACTAGTAGTGCCGCCCTGAGCTGTTTGCTTCTTGTTTAGTTTCACCCCTTGTCTAGCCTAGGGGGTGTGTCAACTTATACATATTATCTATGTAGAAGTTATAGGCTAGACTGAGGTATGCTTCTAGTGAGTACAACCAACTAGTATTTGTTCTAGGTTTCCACCTCTAGTAATCATTCGTTTCTACGTTAACACATAGGTCAACTCTGCTAAATAAGAGAAAACTTATAATTTAAAAAATTTACCCAGAGGCGAAAGGGTGGTACGCAAAATCAATTCTGATTTTCAGAGAATCAGAGTAATTTAATCGTGAAAAATAGGCACTGCTTCAGATTACCAAACTGAGTAAAAGAATATGGTTGTTGCTGCTGTATGTGCATGATCAATTACGGTGCCACGACGAGTTCTCCCTGACGTTGTTGGCTGCAAAAAACTAGCAATGGTAAATAACAGACAAGGTTAAAACACAGGCCTGATTAGTCGGACTCTTTATTTTTTTGCCTGATTTTACAGGCCAATTTTTTTTACGAGGCCTGACGAAAATGGGTTGAGGGGTAGGCATGCCTGACCAGTCAGCCTCCTTAAAACGAATCTGAGACCCTGATTGCAGCTGAGTTATAGGGGTAATGCCATGATTACAATTTAGGCGAGCAATTGAGCTAAGCTGATCCTAGGAAGGATAGTTGCAGTGTCCTCTATCCTGATTTACAAACCCCTTTCTACCCTTTTTATTCGCATGGAAGGAACGCCGTAACTATCATTGCGCGAATGCCCATAGCGAGTCGACCTAAAATCCACGCCCCCACGGATCACCCCTAAACCCCTCCCCTAGGCACTGAAAGTCAACTTGGTTCGCAACCCCCACATCATCGCAGCCGTCGACTTGTCGTCGCTCAAGCGCCTTGCGACGCGCATTCCCCGTGGGATCGCCAGTGACGTCGCGCACAGCGGTCTCTGTCGCAACACCCCCCCTATCAGCATCGGCCGTCGGCCTGTCGTCCCGCTGCCGGGCGTCAGCGCGTGCCGCCATGGAGGCGATCGCGCAGCCAGCCGTTGCGCGCGCCACCGTGCTGAGAGCCGCCCCGCCGAGATTCAGAGTCCCCGAGGCGGGCCAGTCGCACGCCAGCTGCGGGCGACGCCTCGCTGCGACGCTGCGATGCGGCTGTGCGGGCGACGGCGGTCGACGCGTCGTCAGGTGGGTATCTGCCAGGCCCGTTGAAGCCGTCAGGTGCGCATATGACCTAGTTCCGACTGACTTAGTCTTACTCGACGTTGGTCGACTCGCATGCCGCCTTGCCTCGCCATTCACCAGCGGCAGCGGCAGCGGCAGCGGCGGCAAGAAGCTCCCAAGCGACAAGCCCGTCTCTCTCAAGCCTTCGTAACACTCAACGCCTCTCGTTCTCTCTTTGCAGGAGACTGCCACGTGCCACATTCCCATTGGCGCGCGCTCCCCTTTCACAACACGCTTCATGGGACGGTAACACTCGGAGCCACCTCAATAACCCCCCCAGCACCAGCAGCAGCTACAGCGGTAGAGGGCGGGCAGGGAGGGCGCGAGCGAAGGGGGGGGGGAGGGGAGAGGGAGGTACGATCGAACAGGGTATGCGGGCTACGGGGAGTGGAACCCGGACGCCTCGACTGGGGAGGAAGGGGAGGAGGAGGAGGAGGGAGAGGAGGGAGAGGAGGGAGAGGAGGGAGGTGGGGAGAGTGCGGGCATGCGCGCGGGGGAGGTGGAGGAGAGGGGGTGGCGGACGGCGGAGGAGGTGCGGCGGGAGGTGGAGGCGCGGAGGCGGGCGGAGGCAGAGGCGGAAGCAGTGCGCGCAGCAGTGGAGGAGTATAGAGAGTCGGAGGAGTTTCTTATAGCGGATATAAAGGAGTCGGCGAACCCCAACTATCTGGGCGCGCACCAGTCGTACCCCTCCCCCTTCACCTACTTCCGCCCCGTCTGCTCGCGCCCCAACGAGGGGGAACGCTTCCCCCGCGCGCGCAACCTGTTGGTGAGCGAGGCGGACCCGCTGGAGCGCGTGCGCGCGCACATGGCGCTGGCGGAGGGGCGCGAGTACGTGCGGGCGGACAGGGGGGAGGGCGGAGAGGGAAGCCGGGACGAGGAGGAGGAGGACGAGTGGGAGGAGGAGGAGGAAGAAGGGGAGGAGGAGGATGAGGAGGACGAGGAGAGGGACGAGGAGGGGGAGGGGATGGTGCACAGCGGGGGGCGCGGGCGGTTTTGGGAGGAGGAGGAGGACGAGGCGTGGGAGGCGGAGAGCGCTGCACTGAGGAGCCTGAGTGGGTGGGACCGAATGAGAGCCGCCTGGGCGCTGGAAGACAAACATGCCGCCGCCGCCGCAGCAGCAGCGGTAGAGGGGCAGGGGGGCGCGGAGGGGGAAGGGGAGGGCAGGGGGAGTTTGCAGGCAGTGGGGACGGGGGCAGGGGCGAGGGGGGAGGCGTTTGTGGGGGAGGTGGGGGCGATGGAGGTGGTGGGCGACGAGGAGGTGTGGTGGAACTGGGCGAAGAACGAGGGCGACCAGCAGATCTGGACCGCCTGGCAGAAGGAGGCCGCCACCACCGACGCGGTGAGGGGCCGTGACGGGGTGTGAAGGGGTGTGGTGATGGGGTGCGGTGACGGGGTGCGGTGACGGGGTGTGGTGATGGCATGTGATGGGGTGTGGTGATGGCATGTGATGGGGTGTGGTGATGTGATGGCATGTGATGGGGTGTGGTGATGGCATGTGATGGGTTGTGGTGATGGCATGTGATGGGTTGTGGTGATGGCATGTGATGGGTTGTGGTGATGGCATGTGATGGGGTGTGGTGATGGCATGTGATGGGGTGTGGTGATGGCATGTGATGGGGTGTGGTGATGGCATGTGATGGGGTGTGGTGAAGGAATGACAAGCTCCGCCCGTTCCAATTCGCTCCATTCTCCCGACCCCCCCAGCCCCTCCCCCGCCCCTCTCAGGCCATGGCGCTGGCAGCAGCGGAGGCGCGCCACATCAAGCTGCTCGATTCTCTCCTTTCCCCGCCTCTCTCTCCCCTCCCTCTCTCCCCCTCTTCTCCCCCCCCCCCCCCCACCATCCCGTGTCAGGCGATGGCGCTGGCAGCAGCGGAGGCGGGCCACATCAAGCTGCACGGCGACAAGCCCACCACGGTGGAGGCCGTGCTCGCCAGAGTGCGGCGCAAGCCCCTGGCGGACGAGCGGTGAGGGGGTGGATAATGGGGGTGAATGGCACTTGCAACTTGCAAGTTGCATGGTGAGGCGCATGGCCATGGAGGCACCTCAGAGACTAGCCCAATACCGTAAAGGCCGTGCTTGCTAGAGTCTGGGGAAAGCCACTGGCGGATGAACGGCGAGGCACTGCGGATGAGAAGTGGGGGCGGCTGAAAGGTGAGAGTATTGGACACTTGACCAGCCACCCCTGTGGACCGTGGTGGGTGTTCTGGCTAGAGTGTGAGGGAAAGCACCTGCAGATGAGAGGAGTGGGTGATTGGCACGTAAAAGCAAGACTGGGAAGGGGCGGATGCAAGGTGCATGCAAGAGAAAGGTTCGCAACCATGCATGACCGCACCCATGCATGACCGCACCCATGCATGACCGCACCCATGCATGACCACACCCATGCATGACCGCACCCATGCATGACCACACCCATGGACATGTCCTGTTCCCACGTGCCTTGCATTGCCGCATCCAGCTCCTCGGCGTCTCTTGCTGCCCCCATGCACGTCCTCCCTCAATCTTTCTCCACTACCACCCCTGCATGGCACTCCCCTGCATCTCAGCCACGTCTCTCCGCTGTTGGTGGCTATGCCCCCCTGCTTCCCCTCCCGGACGGCCCTGCATCTGTCTCCAGCCTGGCGAAGGAGGAGGAGCTGCGGCAGCGGCTGGGCGACCTGGCGTACTACCAGGAGTGGGTGGCGGCGTGGCCACATGACACGTCGCTCAAGGCCGTGCGGAGAGTGGCGAGGGAGACAGGGCGACCCATGGAGCACCAGATCCTGGACATGCTCGCCATGCAGGTGACATGCTGCCATGCAGGTGACATGCTGCCATGCAGGTGACATGCTGCCATGCAGGTGACATGCTGCCATGCAGGTGACATGCTGCCATGCAGGTGGAATGGGAAGCACGCAGGGGATGAGTGGGAGCAATGAGGTCAACAGTTGAATAGGAAGAGGCTGGCCATGCAGGTGAGGTGGAAGCTACATGCGATAACTCGACCGTCTGCCTGCACATCGCACCTCTTCTCATCCGTGCCTCCAGTAGCTAGTCACATGGTTTGTTTGTACTTCCCCTAAGGTCGAGTACTTCCCCTAAGGTCGAGTACTTACCCTAGGTCGAGTGCTTACCCTAGGTCGAGTGCTTACCCTAGGTCGAGTGCTTACCCTAGGTCGAGTGCTTACCCTAGGTCGAGTACTTACCCTAGGTCGAGTACTTACCCTAGGTCGAGTACTTACCCTAGGTCGAGTACTTACCCTAGGTCGAGTAAGTACTTACCCTAGGTCGAGTACTTACCCTAGGTCGAGTGTTTACCCTAGGTCGAGTGCTTACCCTAGGTCGAGTGCTTACCCTAGGTCGAGTGCTTACCCTAGGTCGAATACTTACCCTAGGTCGAGTACTTACCCTAGGTCGAGTACTTACCCTAGGTCGAGTACTTACCCTAGGTCGAGTGCTTACCCTAGGTCGAGTGCTTAACCGTAGTTGTGATGCTCACCATTGGTCGGGCCTAATTACATGGTTGATACTGCCATCCAGACATCACCTAACTATGGGTTTGGTTACATACGACAGCCGCACCTTACTCAACAACCTTCCCCCCTTTCCCCTCTCTTCGCCTCCCTCTACCACGCCCATGTCCGCACTGGCTTCTCCGTTTCCCCGGGGGCAGACGCAGCGCGAGTACAACGCCATGTGCGGGCGCGACATCCGACTGCAGAAGGACCCCCTGGCGATCAGAATGGACAAGAAGCAATGCAAGCGAGGTGAGAAGTGGTGGGAAGCAGTGCAAGCATTGTGAGAAGGGGTGCAAGCGAGGTGAGGAGCGGTGGGAAGCGGTGTAAGCGAGATGAGAAGGGGTGCAAGCGAGGTTAGGAGCGGTGGGAAGCGCTGTAAGCGAGATGAGAAGCGGTGCAAGCGAGGTTAGGAGCGGTGGGAAGCGCTGTAAGCGAGATGAGAAGCGGTGCAAGCGAGGTGAGAAGCGTGCAAGTGAGATGAGAAGCAGTGCAAGCGAGTTGAGAGGCGATGCAAGCGAGGTGAGAAGGGGTGCAAGCAAGGTGAGGAGAGGTGAGAAGAGGTGTAAGCGAGATGAGAAGCGGTGCAAGCGAGGTGAGGAGCGGTGGGAAGCGGTGTAAGCGAGATGAGAAGCGGTGCAAGCGAGGTGAGAAGCGGTGAGAAGCGGTGCGAAGCGGTGCAAGCGAGGTGAGAAGCGGTGCAAGCGAGGTGAGAGGCGATGCAAGCGAGGTGAGAAGGGGTGCAAGCAAGGTGAGGAGAGGTGAGAAGCGGTGTAACTTGTAAGCGAGATGAAAAGCGGTGCAAGCGGGGTGAGGAGCCGGTCCACATTGTCAACCCTCTCAGGCCCTTTGAGTCGATTTTAAGCCATCCTCTCTCCCTTCCTCTCTCTCCCTTCCTCTCTCCCTTCCTCCCTCCCTTCCTCTCTCCCTTCCTCTCTCCCTTCCTCTCTCTCTTCCTCTCTCCCGTCTTCCTTCCCTTCCTCTCTCCCTTCCTCCCTCCCTTCCTCTCTCCCTTCCTCCCTCCCTTCCTCTCTCCCTTCCTCCCTCCATTCCTCTCTCCCTTCCTCCCTCCCTTCCTCTCTGCCTTCCTCTCCCCCTTCCTTTCTCCCTTCCTCTCTCCCTCCCTTCGCCTCTCCCTGCGTCTCTGCTCGTGCTGTATCAATGCAGTGTGGGGCGGCGGCCCAATCCATCCCACGGTGACATACGAGCCGGAGCTGGACCGCATTGTCAACTTCCTCACGCGTCGTCTCCCTTTCCCCTCCTCTCCCCATTCCTCCCTCCCTTCCTCTCTCCCTTCCTCTCTCCCTTCCTCTCTCCTTTCTCCTATCCATTTCTCTCTCCCTCCCTCTCCCATTGTGTGTCACCACAGTGTGGGGCGGCGACCCGGTGTACCCCACGGTGAACTACGAGCAGGAGCCGGACCACGTGGTCAACTACCGCGGCCCCAACTTCCACGAGCCCAGCGAGGACCCCTTCAATGTCGTGCGCCAGGTGAGAGTGAGGACCCCTTCAATGTCGTGCGCCAGGTGAGAGTGAGGACCCCTTCAATGTCGTGCGCCAGGTGAGAGTGAGGACCCCTTCAATGTCATGCGCCAGGTGAGAGCGGTGCGCCAGGTGAGAGTGGTGTGGCAGGCGAGGGGTACTGTCGGATGGGCTCTGAGAGGTGACGGGGGGAGGTGGGAGTGAAGACCCCTTCAGTGTCGTGCGCAGGTGGGGGGGCTGCCTGTCGCTCTAGTGTGTCGCCTAAATGCGAACTTGTGTCTTGCGATGAATGGACGGCAGTCAATGCCCGGTGAGCGAGGGTGGTGATGCCAGTAGGCCCCCTTCTAGAGATCCTCTGGTATGACCGACCCAGAAGCAGATGGACGCTGGAACGGCACTTCATTTCTTACTCTCCCATTTCTCTCTCTCACTCCCATCCCTCTCCCTGCCCTCCATGCCCTCTCCCGATGACAGCAACGCCACGTGGTGGCGCAGGAGCAGATGGAGGTTGTTCTTTCGCGCCAGTGCTTACTTCTGCCCACCGCCCTCATTTTTCCTGCCCACCGCCCTCATTACCCCTGCCCACCGCCCTGCCTCTGTCTTCCCGTATCGCTCTCTGTGTGTGCCGCCGTGGCAGCAAGGGCGCGTGGTGACGCAGGAGCAGATGGAGGCCATCATGGCGCGCGAGCAGGAGGAGGAGGAAGCGGTGAGACCGCACTGCTCCAAAGCCTGCCCCTTGCATGCGGCAACATTCCATTTGCCATTGCCCTGTGACGACCTCTCGCACAGATGGTTTCCTGCTTTCCCTTGGACGAAAACTAGAGGGGCATGAGGGCAAGTGGGGCATGAGGGCAAGTGGGGTGGGGCATGAGGGCAAGTGGGGCATGAGGGCAAGTGGGGCATGAGGGCAAGTGGGGCATGAGGGCAAGTGGGGCATGAGGGCAAGTGGGGCATGAGAACGCAGCGGCAGCTCCATGGTTTCTGGTCTGCTGGTACATGTTAGGGTCTGCTGGTACATGTTAGGGTCTGCTGGTACATGTTAGGGTCAGCTGATACATGTGTGGGTCTGCTGATACATGTGTGGGTCTGCTGATACATGTGTGGGTCTGCTGGTACATGTGTGGGTCTGCTGATACATGTGTGGGTCTGCTGATACATGTGTGGGTCTGCTGATACATGTGTGGGTCTGCTGATACATGTGTGGGTCTGCTGATACATGTGTGGGTCTGCTGGTACATGTGTGGGTCTGCTGGTACATGTGTGGGTCTGCTGGTACATGTGTGGGTCTGCTGGTACATGTGTGGGTCTGCTGGTACATGTGTGGGTCTGCTGATACATGTGTGGGTCTGCTGGTACATGTGTGGGTCTGCTGATACATGTGTGGGTCTGCTGGTACATGTGTGGGTCTGCTGGTACATGTGTGGGTCTGCTGGTACATGTGTGGGTCTGCTGGTACATGTGTGGGTCTGCTGGTACATGTGTGGGTCTGCCATGGCGTGTCCAAACATCTGGGTATGTGGGTGTTCGCATTCCGTTCCTCACTATTCTTGTTGCAGCTCTCTCGATACTCTCTTGTCTGCTTCCCTGCTTCCTCCCCAGCGCTTTTTCACCTGTTCCCCACCCCCTTGTGCTTCCCTGCTGTGTGCGCGTGGCGTGTGTCGGGTGGCGAGCTGCCTTCAGTTCCTGCAAGAGCTGGAGGAGGCTGGGGAGGATGCCGTTGACATTGGGGAGGAGGAGGAAGAGGAGGAGGAAGAGGAGGATGAGGAGGAAGAGGAGGATGAGGAAGAGGTAAGTTGATGAGAGAAAGTTTTCATGCTGCCACACTCGAGCATAATGGGGAATCGATCGGCAAGTCAGGAGATTGAACATGGATGGGGGTTATGGAAGTAAAGAGAAGTGGGGCAGTAGGGAGGGAGGTGGTTGTAACGACACCTCTGGAGCAAAGATGGGTTGGCGGGTGAATCTAGCCGGCTCCTGAATTGCAGCCCTGTGTCATCCCAGTTTCCTCTCCGTTTCTTTGACCTCACCTTTCCGCGGGTTCATCCCCTGCCTGCCCCATGCAGGAATCCGAGGATGACGACTCAGACGAGGGGGGGAGGGCAGAGGCATCATCATCATCATCGCACGTCCATGCGCACGGGCAGGCAGGGAGCGAGGGGCGGGGGCGGAGGCCGGCGGAGATTCTGGAGGAGGACGAGCAGACGGGCATGCAGTGGGTGGCCGTGCCCACGCGCATGGAGAAGGCGCCGGGGCGACTCAGCTATGAGGAGGAGGCTGAGGAGGGCATCAATGATGAGGAGGATGAGACTGATGTTGGTGGTACTCGAGGTGGTGATGCTCCAAAGTAGAGGTGAAATCTTTTGAGCTTTATTTTGGCTTGTCGAGATCACTGTTAACCTATGTTATGCTACTTTCTGCTGGAGAGAAGATATTTTACGAAGGAAAGAAAACGGATGTCGTGTCATGTACCACATTCCCCCGAAAACACCCTATGTATTGAGAGGAGGAGTTGACTAGAGAGGACAAGTACAGAGACTGGAATGAATCTCGGTGGCATCTCCTGCCTCTCAGACGCCACCCTCTCCCCCCTCGCCTCCCTGCGCTGTCTCAAGAATGTCACTCTGGGCAGCTCCTCCGGCTTCACCGCAGCAGGCATCCGCGTGTTGCTGAGCGCGCCGCAGCTGGAATGGCTGGACCGGGGGCACACTGCCACCACCGACGCCGCTCTCGCCGGCATCTCCCGCCTGCAGCGCCATCGAGAGCTCTACCTGGACTGCACGCACATCACCGACACTGCCATGGCGCACCTGTCAAGATACACGCCGGGGTTGCCCCTGCTCCTCGGGGAAGGGTCACAGGTGCAGAGCCTAGGGGGTTATGGGCGCACTTACCCCGCTACTTAACAAGCCTTTTTAACTCATTGATTAGTGACTGAGTTCTGATAGCACCTGCAGGGGCTGCCTGCGCTGGAAGGACTCACCATTGATGGCTGCTACTCTGTCATGTCTGCCGGCATGGTGCATGTGGGAAGGCTGACAACGCTGGAGTGGCCCAGCCTGGAAGCTAGTCACGTGAGAGAGGAGGGACTGCAGCACTTGACCCCCCTCACTAGCTTGAAGCTCCTCACCTTGCCTCCTGGGGTGACTGACTGTGGGCTGAAGCATGTGAGGCAGATGTGTATATGAGCCATGTGCACATGGCTCATAAGCTGGATGTTGGAAGTGATAAAAGGACTTAAGGCATTTCAGGAGTCTTGCGTGGCTGTAACAAAAGCGCGAAGAACACAACATCGAGAACTTCCAAGTCAAACCCTGCTACAGTACATCCGAGGGTTGACGGAGGTTGACGACACCTCACGGAGGTTACAAATGGGCAACGGTCGCTGACCGTTGACCATGCAACCCAACCGTCATAAGTACAAGAGTCGAAGTCAGCGCGATTGCAAGGACAAATAACCGTCCTGGTATTACAGCACGGGTGGTTACCCGAGTCGCTCTTATCGAGCTGTAAAAGGAATGTACCCCGTGAAGTGCATAATCAGTTAGACCCTTCATATTCTCGTATTATTATATAAACCGTGTATCCCTTTGCAATAATCAATCACTTGTTCTCACATACCAGTACAAGGGTTCACTCAGACTTCCGCTGTGCTATCAAGCACTCTGCTACAAGGACTTAACTTTCTGAAAAGATCCTAGGGCTATTCTCAGCCCAACATGGTATGAGAGATAGTCAGAATCTACGTTGCCGTTAAAAACTCCCTCAATTGAGTTTCTAACCTGGATCAGAACGCTTGCAACAGATTCAATCTCATTATCAAGATTCAAGACATGACACCATCTAAAGGGGGAGGATCCTCTACTGGATCCCCCGGCTATGAGCCATGTGCACCTCCAGTCTCTGATCTATAGACTGAGGCAGTCGCAACTCCAAGCGCAACTCAAGGCGCAACTCAAGGCACAATAGCAGGAGCTCCCACGCATCCAGTGGCCTCCTCCTCGGGCATCGACCTGGCCTTTGTGGAGAAATTCTTCTCCTTCATGTCGCACTATGAGCAGCCTTCAGCACCTGTTCAGTTGGCACACAACAACAGTGTCAGTGGCGTAGTAACAATGAGCCTCGACGGCCCACCGTACGCACGAGGTAACCAGCCTACACAGCACCAACCTTACCAGCCCTCGCCCGGCTCCTTCACCTTCCTGCCAACTCCCGCGCAGCAATGGACTCGGAAGCAAGCGACGAACCAATGGACATTATCAACATGCAGCAGCAATTCAACAATATCTTGAAACTGCAAACGTCCTTCCCCTTCAACGGCAAGGATTTCTTTACCTAGAGCTTCAAGTTTGAGCTGCTGACGGACGGCGTGCATATCCTCGGCTTCTTCGACGACTCCTGGGCATTCCCTGAAAATGAGACTATTCAGCAAAATAAAGTCTACACGTATCAGTCCCTTATGGCCGTCACCATCCTCCTGCGCAACCTGACATCGACAAAACAACAAAGCATCCGAACATACCGCAACTTCAGCAAATCGGTCGAGCTCGCCTACTGCCACCTGAAAGGTGTTAACCAAGCCTCCGACAGTGTGACTCAAAGTCGGTTAATGGCACAGCTTACGACGATTCAGATGCAAGCAGGAGAGAAGGCAATGACTTACATCAATCGATCCAGAGGACTGCGCGATGAACTCCTACGGATTGGAGAGCACTTATCGGAAGACTCCTTTGTTACGGTCGTCCTCACTTGTCTCGGTCCCCGGTGGCGAATGACGCGCTCCCTCGTACGGGCCCACCCGAGGATCTCCAAGATGCACATTTGCACGGAGCTCCACGCCAAGCAGCAGGACATAGACCCGTACGAAGAATGCCATGCCAAGAAGCCAAGTCAGCAACTTGCTTTTTACACTCACGGGCGCTACAACAATCAGAACCAGAAACGACACTCATCTCCACACTGTCACATCTGCCGCACGTCGGGACACTCGTGCTTCAACTATCCAAGGCAGCAGCGCCGCCAACAGCAACAGCAACATCAACAGCAGTCGCAGCCCCAACAGTATCAGCCCCCCTCGTCCTTCGCCGAGTCATGTCACTTCGACCCAGCAACGTCCATCAGCACCGACGAATCGATCTGCACAAGACGTGAGGAATGTCGTTAGCTGCATGGCACGAACAGACTTCTGCGCGCCTGACTCTCCACCTCACCACGACCCCGACGAGCGACCACCCACTCCGACACAAACCCGAATCCAACCGAACCCGACTTATGCTGCGATCGCACGCGACGAACCGTCTCGCCGAGATACTTGGTTTCTTGACAGCTGCTGCGGGCAGCACAGTTGTTCCTTGGCACGCTTTGTCCAACGAGAAAAGGTCTTGAGTCAAGAGGTCGTGATCACTGCGCATACGCAAGGAAGGCGTTGTTCAGTTATAGTCACTCGAGACAAGCGTTGTGTTACAAATGTCACGGGTACTCGTCGTCGACAACCTTGGCTACAATCTGTTGAGTGTCAGTCAAATAATGTCCAAAGGCATTCACCTGGAGTGCGATAGCTTCGACCGTGAGCTCCGGCTTTACGGGAAGGGCGGACTCTTCATCGGCAGGGCGATCCAGAAGCATGGCGTCTTTGTCCTGGACTTCGTCCCCGACCATGGGACCGCCGACAGCGACAACGTCATCTCCTTCATGTCCTGGACGCATCCACCAGACCTCGACTTAGGCTTTGACAGAGGTGGCTTCTGGTACTCCAACATGATACCTAAAGCAGTGAGTATACGGGCGTTAGCAGTCATGCGAGAAGCAGAAAAAACAAGGGAAGCAGAACCACCAAGGATAAGCAAACGGGAGTCGACACATGCAACCCGTGCACGCCCCGTCGCTGGAACCTTGTCCGTGTCACCTGTCGAAGAACCACACGTCGAAGCAACCCCCGTCGAGGAACCATCAATTGAAGAACTACCGCCGACAGAAGCCGCGCAGCTGAAGGCGCACCCTCGTGAACAACATCGGAGTGTCGCGACCGTCTCTGCCTTCCACGCCACCTCGGATCTGTATCGACGCTCTGTGGGACACAAAGCGAGCAAAGAAACGTGGCGTCAACGATTGGGTCATCCGGGAAAATCCAGAATATTCGACACTATTCGAGCTAACGTACTCGACAAGGACGCACTCCTACTTCTCGATGGCCGCAAATTACAACGACCATGACGCACCTGATTTATCTGCCCCAAAGCAAATCTTCCTCGACAACCGTTCCCGCCGCATCACAGCCCCAACACACCTGAGTATACTCCTCTTGAAAAGGTATACAGATTCTATATATCCCACGCGAAGTCGGCCGAGCGGACCTAAACTACGACATCACCTTCATCTATGCTGCCACGCATTACACTTGGCATCTAAATTTGCCGTCCCGCGACCTCGCCTCTTGTGCCTCGTCGCATAGCTTGCTGCGGCAGAAAGCGAGGGAGACATTAAGCTAAAATGTTTCCAAACAGACGGGGCGATGGAATACCAATCACAGTGCTTCAAGGAATATCTCGCGGAGAGGGAAATCAAGAGGCTCGTAACCCTCCCATACGCTCACCCACAGAACGGTGTAGCAGAGAGGATGATCAGGACCCTCCATAACACCATGCGGAAGCTGCTGACTGGCATGTTCCTGCCAAACTCGCAGTGGCTGGAGGCGATGAATCAAGCTGTAATGCTGCAGAATCTTCAGTCGTCAAGCTCCCTGCCAAACATCGCATCACCGCATCTGCTGTGGACAGAGAAGCAGGGGCAGCACAAAACTTTTATGAGTTTTTTGCTGCATGGTACAGTACCGACCGCACACTGCATGCGCTGGACGATTTTCGCAGCGGGCAAGATGGGGAGTACACCTTGGAGTGGAAAAACATTACAAGGCATGGAAAATCTTCGACATGGAAGAAAAGAAAACAGTCCCAGTACGTGACGTGATCTTCTACGAAAATCTTACCCTCAACCATTATCGCTCGTAGCAGCCGTGCACCTGCCGGCCTCGCCGCCGCAAATCGAGGAGCCCAAGACTGTCAAGAAAGTCGAGGGACCTTCAGGGAGAAATGGAGGGAGGCAATGGATCGGGAGTTTGCGGCCTTACACGAGCGGAACACTTGGAAGCTGATTCCAATTTCTCAAACGACGGGCAAGACCATTCTCTCCGAAAAATGGGTATTCCGCGTGAAGTCAAAGGCGGATGGGACAATCGACCGCTTCAAAGCTCGCTGGGTGGTGTGCGGATTCGACCAGCAGCACGGCCGTGACTACACCGAAAGATTCGCCCTCGTCATACGTCACACATCACTACGAATTCTGCTAGCAGTCGCTGCCACTCGCAGGCTCCACCCCAACGATTGGCCTCACCAACTACAAGGACGTTACCACTAAGACAGAGCTAATCGGATATGTCGACGCCGATCACGCCAGCGACAACGACAACAGGTGCTCTCGCACCGGCTACGTCTACCGCTTGCAGCCTATCAGCACTATTTCCTGGCACTCGGAAAAGCAACAACTAATCGTCCTCTCATCTGCTGAAGCTGAATATATCACCCTTTGCACAGCTACAAAGGAAGGACTTTACCTGTACGAGCTGCTAAAAAAAACGAAGATCGCCGAACTAGCGAACTTCTCCCTCTTCTGCGACAACCAATCAGCATTCAGGATCTCCAACAAAAATGGTTTCGCGAACAAGACAAAGCACATCTCTCTTCGCTACTTCTTCGTGAAAGACGAGATCGAACAGGGACGTCTCCAATTGGCTTACTGCCCCGCTACCAAAACGGCAGCCAACTACCTGACCAAGAAGCCGACGAAGTCGAAGTTCCAGTTTTGCATGCTGCTAACTGGACTACAACACGTCAGCAACTTCGACCACATCGACACTCTAGAAATGAAGGAGGGTATTGGAAATGATAAAATGATTTTTCAGGAGTCTCTCGTGGCTGCAACAAAAACGCGAAGAACACAACATCAAGGACTACTTGGTCAAAGCTAGCTACAGTACCTCCGACGGTTGACGAAGGTTGACAACACCTCACGGAGGTCACGAAAGGGCACCGTTCGCTGACTGTTGACCATGCAACCCAACAGTCAGAAGTACAAGAGTCGAATTCAGTGCGACAGCAAGGACAAATAACTGTCCCGATATTACAGTACGGGTGATTACCAGAGTCCAGGCCCCCAGATTGGTTTTGGGGCTGTATGATTCGTCAGACTTGCTTGCCATCCCTTGGTATGGCCACCAGAGTTGCCCCTAAAAAAAAGTTTGAAAACCCAGACTAGCAATAGATTTTTTGTCTAATCAATCAGAGTCACATTTTTTTTTAAACACTGACTTTAAAGTCGTTGTCACATGTAAATCAATGTCCTATTTGTGTGCTGGCAAAAGTGCACAGTCGCGCCACCCAACACCCGGCCGGCGCAAATTTCACGCGCTAGCTGGCGACGAAATGGGGTGGACTGGTTCGTAACGGGCA